GCTGGGGCCACCAGGCGGGTCGCAGGTTGCGGATAGCGAACGGCCTTCTATAAGGTTAGTTGCGAATAAGCGCAAGCTAATAAGCAACCCCGGACAACAGCGGGTACACCGGAGTCGGCGTACTGATGAGACGTTTGTCTGGCCGTCTTCAAAAGTATAGCCTCACACACTCCTCTTCCCTCACGACTACCTATCAACTCCCCGCCCCACACAATCTCACTCCAGGCCGGACTAAGGTGTCATCCGACCCGTGCCGATAGTCAGCCTGGCTGGGGGCCCGGATTAACAAATAGCCCAGTCTCTCACGGAGGGTTCAGGCAAGTGGCGACCGCCTGTCCTAACCGCGCCTTACCCGGGTATGGCGGATCTCTGTCCGGGTGGACCATACTTTCTCCGCAACTCGTGGGATTCGATTATAAAGAGGCATACGAACACCCAAATTGCCGCAGGATATCCCTGCATCAAGTGCCGCAAGGCTCTTGGAAAACAGACTCCTTGACGGAGTGCGACCCCAGGTGGGACCAGCCCCACCCAGGAGCGCAGCTTCCATCAGGAGTGCGTCACGGACGCAGAATGTGGGACAACCCCCACAACGATCGACTGTTCCAGTTCGGGAACGTGGGCTACCGGCAGGACCATTCCGGCCGGCTTGCCCACCCCCCGCGGCTGTACAAAAGACCAAGCCCGCCAATAAGGAAGATGTCCTTCCACCCAGAGGACAACCAGGAGGCCTTGGCGACCTCAACAGGAAAGGCCTGTCGGGGTCCAAGGTCAAATGGTACCTCAGGTATCTTCAGCAGGGCTTGACACCTGATGAAGCTTTGAAGAAGGCGAAGGAGCCACGACCAGTGGCACAAAACGTTGCCCCTGCCAGCAAGCGGGCAAATAGTACCCTCACCCTTCCGATGGACACCCCGAAAAGGTCCAAGTCAGAGGGCATGAAAGAGGCAGCGGCACCTCCCCCCCCCGTCCCCCCAAGGCCTGATGAGCCCAGCACGTCGAAGGCGGCGTCGACGAGGAGACCCCCCTGAGGCATCTGCTGGCACACCCAGCGTGCCGAAGGCGAGTGACAAGGGTGAGAAGCAGCCACCCTCCACTTGTACGGCTCCTCTCACTGGCACACACACCTCCTACGCGGAGGCCGCCAAGAGAGTCAGAGTTGCGGTACTACCTGAGGACTACCCGCAGGTGTACCTGAGCAACGAAGAGCTTGCCGAGCTGGAGGAGGCCATAATGGACGATGTAGTCACGTCTGAATGGGACTCAGCAGTCGCCTTCAGAGGTGTCCACTTTAGGGTCGGATACCTCCTGATAGACTGTTTGGACCAGGACTCGGCGGACTGGCTGAGGACTGTGACGTCTCAGCTTAGAACGTGGAAGGGCGTGCCCCTTGACACTAGGGTAGGAGAAGACATTCCTGCGGCATACAATGTCACGGTCTTCTGCCCTAGAAGTGCAGAAAGAAGCAATGAGGAGCTTCTGATGATGCTGGGACAGAATGGAGGTCGATTCCTGGAAGGTGATCTCCCGAAGGAACGACGGAGGCGGGGCACTCCTCGTTATAGGGATAGACCAACTCACCCGAGATGAGATCGTCTCTAAAGGGCACCAGCTGAACTTTAGATTTGGGTCCGTCTCGGTGAGTGGTCTCAGGTAGGCGGCAAAGATGGCTGCAACAGAAGCAGCGCCCCCCGGCCCCAAAGACGGCAAAGTGGAGGTCGAGGAATCCCTCGGAAAGCCACAAGAGCCATTGGGTGCAAAGGAGGATGCTATCGCTGATATGGACGTGGAGAGTGAGGATGAGCATCCCTCGCCCTCCCAGGAGGTGGCACAAGAGCCCCTCCTAGAAGATATCGACGAGAAGGAGGCCGACGTCACCCTGATGGAAGGCAGTGAAGGGGAATGCCAAGAAAACAAACTGGGATTGGTTCAAGTCCTCTCTTGAGCTCAATCTCTCTAACGAACCGTCAGGTATACCCAGACATCCTTTAGAATTGGATCAGGCAGTGGATGACCTGTGCAAGAAGATAACCAATGCTTTTGAGGACAGTTGCCCTCTTGGCAGACGGAAAGCAGATAAAGACACCCCATGGTGGAATGACAACCTGGAACGGCTCCGAATCTCTACCCGCCGGCTCTTCAACAGAGCAAAAACGAGCGAGGATAACTGATTGTCTCCAGTTAAACAAAGCCTGACGCTCTACAACAAAGAGATCAGGAAGGCCAAACGAAAGAACTATAGAGACTTCTGTGAGGCAATCAGCACAGCCCATGAAGGGGCAAGATTGCACAAGGCTATGGCCAAAGTTGCACCAGAAAGTAACCTAGCCCTGAGGAAATGTAACAACTCTTACACTTCCGACGACAGGGATAAACTAGCTTTACTCTTTAAAACACACTTCCCCGGGAGCTCACCCCTGGCGGAAGATACGTCCAGCCCAACACCTCAGACCAAGCGCAGAGGACTGGGCAATTGCCAAGTCTCTAGTCTCTCCGGAGAGACTTAAATGGGCAATTGGGACCTTCCAACCATTTAAGTCACCTGGTCTGGATGGTATCTCTCCATCATTCCTGCAGCAGGGACTGGATTTACTCCTAACCCGCTTAAGGAGACTGATGCTAAGCAGCCTAGCAATTGGACACATCCCAAATGCGTGGCGTAGAGCTAGGGTGGTCTTCATCCCCAAAGCAGGGAAGAAAGACAGCACCAACCCAAAGTCCTTCAGACCTATCAGCTTAATTTCGTTTTGCCTTAAAACGTTGGAAAAGCTGGTAGACTACCATATTAGGAGCACAGTTCTTAAGGACTGTCTGCTGCAACCCACGCAGCACGCATACAGGGCAGGTCGTTCAACAGACACTGCACTGTATCAACTTTGTCACACTCTTGAAGGGGTAGTGGACAACAAGGAAGTTGCAATCTGCGCCTTTCTGGATATAGAGGGAGCCTTTGACAATGCGTCGCATGACACTGTCTTAGCGGCCCTCGCCAGAAGGAATATCGACGTGACAACAAGAAGGTGGATTGGAGCTTTGTTAAGCTCCAGGCAGGCAATGGCGACCATTGGCAACAGCACAATGACCGTTGCCACAAGCAGAGGATGTCCGCAAGGTGGAGTCTTGTCTCCTTTACTGTGGAGCCTACTAGTAGATGAACTACTAAAGAAACTCGCCGAGGGAGGAATACAATGCCAGGGCTATGCCGATGACATAGTAATAGTAGCCAAAGGGAAATTTGAAGAAACGCTTTGGGATATTGGCCAACACGGACTCAAGATAACGCTCGACTGGTGCAGGGAAGTTGGGCTTAACCTTAACCTCAAAGAGTCATTGTTCCTTTTACAAAGAAGTACAAACTAAAGAAGATGAGACAAATCATGCTACTAGGCACTCCCATAGCAATAAGCCGGGAAGTTAAGTACCTCGGAGTTACCTTCGACAGAAGGCTAACGTTTGCAACCCATATGCAAAAGACAGTGGATAAGTGCCTCAGGGCTCTCTTCACCTGTCGGAAAATTGCAGGGAAATCTTGGGGGACCTCACCCCAAATTATCAGATGGCTATGCCTTATAATTGTGAGGCCAATACTCACATATGGGTCAGTAGCCTGGGGTAAACGAGCTAGGCTCGTTACCGCACAGAAACAGCTCCAAAGGCTGCAAAGACTGGCATGCATATGTATGACAGGAGCAATGAGAACCTGCCCACTGCGGCACTGGAAGTTCTCATGGAACTCACTCCGCTACACTGCGTAGTAGAGTTACAGCGGAAGGCCACCCTACTAAGAATCACTTCTTGTGGTAACGGCAGTGACCGCATCCTCAGTTCTAGGGATGCAGCAAAAATACTAGTCGAACTTCCCCTGAGCTCACACCCCAGGGACGAAATGACAGTAGAATTCATCCTTGAAAAGAATTTCTCTGCTCATCTGAGCAACAAGAAAGAATGGACCACCATGAAGGAAGTGTGCAGAGCTCAATATGAAGCGTGGGTACACAAACAAGGACATTGCGATCCTCTCGGACAGTTGAGCGGCAATTACTGCACTATGCAGCAATAGAATCACCTCGAAGCTGGTTCAAGAAGTAAGAACAAAGCTGAACCTTCTGGGCAGCAACAACAGGCTGTCATTAAGATGGATTCCAGGACACAAAGACATATCCGGGAATGAACTAGCCGACAGGCTAGCAAAACTAGGGGCGGAACGACCCCTTATAGGACCCGAGCCTTACTGTGACATAGGCAGACACACAGTCAAAGATTACCTAAGAACAGAAGAGGTACATATGAGGCAAGCCTGCTGGGAAGACACCACAGGCCAAAGACAAGCCAAAACCCTCATCGTCAATTATGACATGAAGAGGTTTAAGAAACTTATACTACTAGGGAAGAGATCACTTAGGATAGTTACCGGCTTACTAACCGGACACTGCAGACACCTATTTAATATAGGGACTACAAACAGAAAAACATGCAGATTCTGTGATAGCGAGGATGAAACCTCCCTACACATAATATCAGATTGCCCAGCACTAAGTAGCCTGAGGAGCAGAACCCTCGGGTCAAGGTTCCTTACACTTGGGACCTCTGGAAGCATCGACCCGATAAAGCTCCTTAACCTTATCGAAGGAGCCGGCTTGATGGGTGAGCTCTAAGCTCAGATAGGGGGTACAATAGATCCAGTTGGGTCGAGGTAACGAGGAATAAATGTACTTTATGAGGTCTGAGGTGTCTGCTTCCCTGATTGCAAGCTTCTGACTGAAATTATAATACCCTCTGCATGGGTAGATAAGTAAGAGCGTAATTTGAGGAACCACTGTTTCTTTGTTCGATTTTGTTATTATTATTTTAAAAAAGATAATATTTAAATATGTATTAATAAAATGTGCAACTAGGACTGATTAAATTTGAGATGGCAGCTTGTGTTAAAGGAAAAAGCCGAAAGCTGCACGATACTTGAATGAACATATTAATGAAATAAAATAAACAATTATACTTACCTAGTTTCAAAGTTGTAGGTAGGTCTTTTTATGAATAAAAATTTAGGCAAAAAGTCTATAAAAACTCGTTTAACCCAGGGAGCCATTCTATGGGTTTGAGGAGAACGAAAGTGAACGTTCAAGACAACAACCGTCACGCAGATGCTTTAAACAAATGAAAAAAAAATATTATCAAAAATTACAAAATGTGTTTTATTTTTTACCTTATAGATACGAGTATCATAGCAAAAATTAGATACTTTCCTAATAAGGGAACAACTAACGATGTCGGGGGATGATTTCAACCACCAAAAGAAAGAACACGTGAAGACTAATAAGTATTGATATAGATAGTGTAACCTGAAATACACAAAAAAAATATATGTTTTTACTTTGTTTAATAGTAACGCGGAAATAGTTTTAGCGTACCTTTTCTCCACTATCCGATGGTAGGTAAAAGGTCAATACAGTTAAAAAGGAAATTCCCATACACGGTATTATTATGTTAACTGTATAAAAAAGCGTTTTTCTTCTCATTGTGATATTAAATGTTATATCCAAGTAGGGTTCGTCACAACAGGTATAAAACTTTTCGTTTCTGCAAAACATTAAAGGTGTATACGTTGAGAAATTTTCACTAATGCTTAAATTACAAATCGATTTTCGGTTAACGTTATCTATAATTGTAAAATGGCCCTAAGCTGAATAACGTTTTATTTATTACACTGTGCGACAAAAAAATGTTTAAGTTGATTTTTTCTTATTTTTTCACTTCTACTAATCAAAATAAGAATACAAGTTTGTGGATTTGTTAATATCAATAGCCAATCAGCTTCTACGCACACTCAAATGTCCCAAAAACGCGCGTTTTTGCATATTTCACAGCCTTATAATCACATATTGGGAAAATATTTTTTCACCGTTATAAGCGTTCATGCAAGTTCAATATCTATTAATTAAAATGTATTAAGCAAATATACCGTTAGGCTTTTATAACAATGAGTTAAAAATTTTTTCTCCCAGCTCTATACTCTGGGCGACTACGTATGGAACTTGTTACGCGAGGATACCTCTGAAAAATCCAAAAAAAATCAGAAAAAAATTTCACTTTAAAAAAAAATAATAGTTTATTGGAAGTAAAAAAAAAATAATATTTTGTGTTAAATATTTTCATAATAATAATTTCATAAAATTTATCATTATTTATGCACCTTAACCGAAAACAATCAAAAAAGTAACTTAAACAAAGATTTTGTCAAATTTTGTCGCACAGTGTTATAGAGTATTATTAATATTAAAATCTTTAAGTCGATGCAATCAAAAACAGCGGAGTGAGAACTTTTTTTAATCTCTCGTATGGGAGCTATCTGATATAGTCGCCCAATCCGGCCCGTTTGGTAAAGTTTCAGCAAGATAGCTTTAAAACTGAGAGACTAGTTTGAAGACAAATGGACAGACGGACAGACAGACAGACAGGCAGGCAGACAGACGGACAGACGGACAGACCTACAGACGTACAGACGGATTTCGATTCAGATAGTGATGCTGATCAAGAATATATAACCTTTATAGGGTCTGAGATGCCTCCTTCACTGCGTTGCAAACTTATGACTGAAATTATAATACTCTTTGCTCTACAAGGATATAATAATTACGGTGTTTACTTATCGAACCTTCCCTCGAAGATACAAACGACAAATATTCAAATCTTAGCCTAATACATATAATTAATTAGTTAAAATTAGGTTTTTTTTTGTAATAACGGCCCTAGCTTTTGTTGCTGGGAGGGGAGATGTCTTCGCCGGAGTCGTGTGTGGCAGTGTTCAGGTTAAAGACCGCGCAAGCTTATTTGGATGAGCCTGTAGCTTGATCGTAAACTTTGCTTTTACATTATCGATCCCCTCATTAACAGATCCCACGTTTAAATCTCTGTGAATTTTCTCATTCCGTATGTACCACGGTGCACCAGTGATAGTTTTCAGTATTTTTGATTGGGCTCTCTGGATTACTTCAAGGTTACTAGCGTATGCGTTTGCGTACAAGTTTTAAGAAGACTGGTCTTCTTCATTGGCCTATATGATGAAGGCTGGGACTTGTCCTTTCCAGCTTTATGGATCATAGCGATGACAAACTTGTTCCATTGTTGTAGACAATAACCCCATTTCATCATGCTGTTGAATATCGTGGTGAAGGGATTTACTGCACAGTTCGGCAACTCTTTTATCTTTTTAGGGGATATTAAATTGTGTACGGGCGCTTTCCTTTTTCTTGAGCCTATATCACTCTTATCACTTCTCTTGATTGGAAAATAATAGGCAGGGTAGCCTCTGGAGTGATGTTTGTTGGGAGCACAAAGCTATTTGTTGATGGAGGCGGTTTAAAGACCTTATCTAGATGCGCAGCAAATACATTCGCCCACTTTTCGTTGCTGCGAGCCCACTCTCCTCTTTTTGGTGAGTGATCCGATGAAAGATCTGTTAATGTTCCACATGAATATGCCCTCTAGGCACTCTTCTTGTGACGGCAAAATCCATCAGGTCAGGCTTCTTATTGGAATCTGTTGGCCAATATGTAGGCTTACCTGGAGAGATAAGGTCAAGCATGTTTCTTGGTGTTATTATAGCGTTGTGCAGCTGTCTTCCTTTCAGATTGGTGAGTCGAGAGCCCCAATGGGGGTGTTTCGCATTGTAATCACCAGCCGCTATTAAACGGTCACATAATAAGTCAAAGAACTGTACAAATTCATCTTCGGAAATGGAAAAGCGTGGTGGTCAGTATATAGCGAATAGGTTTAAGAAACCGCTTTGGGTATCGATGTTTATTAATGTAGCTTGTAAATTGTCTGTTGCGAATAATGGCAACTCATAATGCCTGATGCGTTTCTTGATCAGTATGCCAGTGCCGCCACGAGCCTTGCCATCAGGATGGTTTGTTTTATAAAATGTATAGCCATTATGGTAAAAATAGTTGCTGTTTGTTGGGTGAGTCTCTGGTATAAGCATGGCGTCAATGTCATACTGATCTAGGAACTGCTAGAGCTCGTATTTGTGCTGTGAAATGCCGTTCGCATTCCAGAAACATATTAGGTTGTTTGGCAATGACATACCGGTGTCTTTATTGATTTTTGGCGACGATTTTAACATAGCATTTGTTCGGAGCAGAACCCCTAACTTATAAATTCTACCCTTTATTCAAATGTCCAACTGCTAATGTAATGTAACATAACGTAACATAAACGTAAACGCAAAGTTGTTTACCAACACCCGCATAATGTAATCGCGCCTAACTTTGCTTATCTTGTTTTTATCTATCTTCTTTATCATCACTTCGTCTTCGCAACTCTTAACCGATTTACATCTTTCGTTCGTACTCGCAAAAACCTCGCAAGCAAGTTGTCGGTCGCGATCTTGTAAGCGCAAAACGCACAAACATTGTACACAAGAACAAACAAATAACACTCAGAGACACAAATATAAAACCACATCTCATTTAAATCGCAAAACATTGGCCTTTTTTTTGAAGTGCATAAAGCGGTAGCAACAAATTAGTTGCATTCCTCTGAACATTTGGTGACCCCGACGTGATATACGTGGGGTGTGTTTTTTATTTCGTTTTTCGGTTTTCACAAATCGGTGAAAAGGCCTATCAGTGCATTTGGACACCACTTCGCAATTCGGTGAAGAGGCCTACAAACATACATACATATATTCCTGTGCTTGGGTATTATTTGGCGCGCTTTCTTTTGTGATCTTGTTCGCATACATAACCACAGTTTGATCTTGGTTATATAAAGTGCAGTGCACATATAAGCCGTGTTAAGCGAGGTCAGTGAACGCTTACGAATTTGTTCCGTTGCATTTTCGTCTCTTGCATTCAATTTCGTGCAGTTGCATCGGCAGCTTAAAGTGATAGTGACTTTCGTATACTCTTTTTGAAAATGATGGCTGAAAGTGATTCGGTTGGTGCAAGATCCGCGGCGGTACCAAGTGACTTAGACTTTTATAAAGCGAAGGCTGATGCTACCTTAAGACAGGTAGAAGCTTTAAAAAGCTATCTGGAGTCAGATGAGGCGGTCAACTTCGACGAGACTGATCTTCAGGTGCGACTTGATTTTGTCGATCAAATGCAAGTGGACTTTGATAAAAGTCAAACCGCGGTCGAAAGGTTAGACTTGCAGGAGTTGTGCAGTGACGCTCGGTCAAAGTTCGCAAACACCTACCTCGTGGTAAAATCGCAAATTTCGCGTGAGCTTGGCAAGCAGCGTAGATTTTCAGCCGTGAATTCTACAGCCCTTCCACATGTCGGTGGTGATTCGAGACCCGCTGCGCGTGCCACAAGGCTCCCAGAGTTCAAGTTGCCAAGGTTCAGTGGTGCCTATATCGAGTGGCCTGATTTCTACGCAATGTACAACACCATTGTGGGCAATAATGATGACCTGAGCAACGTGGAAAAGTTCCAGCATCTTCGGTCATGCTTGGATGGCACAGCGTTGGATACAATTCGTTCACTGGAGCCCACGGAAGCTAACTATGAGAAAGCTATCGAATTACTAGTTTCGAGATTTGATAACAAACTTTTGCATTTTCAGGCACACATACGGTCAATCTGCGGGATTTCAGGTGTGGAGCAAGGATCGGCAGCAAGCTTACGACGATTAAGCGACCAGATGAATTCGCATCTGCGTGCGCTGAATACCATGGCAACGACACAGGAGATCATGGACGGTCTTCTGATCTATCTGGTAGCTTCGAAGTTGGATCGCCACACTCGAGAGAAATGGGAAGAGGGTCTGCAGGCAAATAAGCTGCTGAAGTGGAAGGATATGGCTACATTCCTGGAAAAGAGGTGCCGCATGTTGGAGAATCTTGAAAATGCTATGGTAATCCAGACACCTAGCAAACAGGTGGGAAAACCAAACACTAACAAAAATATTCACAACGCACTCGTAGCATCATCATTAACCTCCTCTTCATGTAGCTTGTGTGAAAGTAGAGATCATTTCATTTCTAAATGCGCTCAGTTTTTGAACCTCAGTCCCACCTTGCGGTATAAGGAGGCTAAAAGGCTGCACTTGTGCCTAAATTGTCTGCGCAAAGGCCATGGTATGCAACAGTGCAAGTCTGGTTCTTGCAAACGCTGCCATTCGAAGCACAATTCGTTGCTTCACATCGATTCCAACGCCATCGCCGCACCCTCTCCTCCAACTACCACTACTAACAGTCAAAATGTCGTTTCGCTCTTATCCTCATCATTCTCTGAAGCTCCACCTGTTGTCTCGTCAGATAGTAAGACCGATTATGTGCTGCTTGCCACTGCCATCGTTTACATCAGAAATCGATCTGGTGCATTTGTTCCCTGCAGAGCCTTGTTAGATTCTTGCGCTCAAATCAACATCGTCACTTCTCGTTTTGTTAAGCAGTTGCAACTCACTACTCGTCAAACAAACACATCTATCTCTGGAGTTGGTGAATCATCACTTTCATCAAACGCAACCGTCGATCTCGAAGCGCACTCTAGGGATAAAAAATATCGTACAGCACTGACTGCAGTAATTAGTGGCAAGATTACGGATTATCAGCCTCATTTCGATTTAAACGC